TGGTAGTAACGCATATGAAAACTTGCACACTTCATAACTAGAGTGCGCTACCAGCCAGGAAGAATAATGAAAATTCATTTTATACACTCTTTGAATTTGGTTATATAACTTTTATACTAAGGGTTACATAATAAAATAAGTTTTTTAGTAAACTTTTAACTAAAAAACTTTACATCCATTACATAAACAATGAATATTCTTTAGCTTGTGGTTATTTACGGTTTATACTTTTAAAAACAAATTTTTTATATAACTCTGCTACTAGGGTTGCCGGCGCTCAGTTGACTCGCCGGAACTCCGCGCGGAAACGTGCAAAAATCGTAACTTTAAAAATCGATATCTCGAGAACGGTTGGGAGGTGGCGGCTAAAAAAAAATACGTCAACCTTAGATTTGTCTCTTCTTCATGTACAAGCAAAATGAACCCAATCCCAGGATGTCACTTCGTAGACTCCCCTTGTTAGACATGCAGGGCCAAGAAACATTGTGTTTGAGATTATCCAAACATCACTTTGGGCCGAAAAAAACTATATATTAGGGTGGAACATATAATATTCTTACCGACTGAATAGAAGTTGGAACAGACTGCGTCATGGGCTGCGCTTTTTGGACAAAAACAGAACTCCTTGCTTGGGGAATGGTAACAGCTAATGGCCGCTGCGGGCTACCAACTTTCCCTCCACTCAAAACAGCAGTAGATTTCATTACAGCAGGTGAATCTGCTAATGCAACCTGCAGTCCTACAGAACGTGTTGCTTTCATTGGGATAACTAAATTCTTGTTCAACTGCGACTGAGATTGCTCAATGAACTTCCTCATAATAATGCAATTCTCATTATACTGCTTTTGAACGCCAGCCAAAAGCTTTTTCTGGGCATCACACTGCTCTTGAAGACAAGTTAACATTTTTTGCTGATCACCAGCTACTCCTTTGTATTTCATGACTTCTAGCATTTTTAACACAATAAGTTCTTCCAAATCTTGGCGACTAAAGTTGCGCAGATTGGACTGAAATCTATTAAACCTCCCGATTTCAATATCCTCTTTAGTGGTTGAGTTATTGGAGTCTGAACTTACACTTGTTCCTTCCGTAACAGCTGATGTTTTCATGCTACTACAAGCTTCATCGAGGTCATGCTCCGCAGAAACTTCCGTGGAACTATGGTTGGAGTTTGCACAGTCAAGGATCCTTGACTTCTTATAACTACTTGCAGAGACAGAAAATGAATCACTTTCATTAGGCTTACTTAATTTTCTTTTCCCTGTGCTAAGAATTCTCTCTGATTTGGCGCGCTTAATTTGCGACTCATCTTCTTCAAGTTCTACAGAGGCAAGCCTTTTTAAACTGGAGGACTCAAGTGTACCTGCAGGTTTTGCAGAAGCTGAGTAAATATGATCACTGAGTGACAATTTGTCTAAAGGAGAGTTAGGTGCCTTTTCAAGGCTACATTCTAGTTCCGCATTTGCTAGTTCAGGTTCGTTCCTTGGATGGTTAGTAGACACAAAACTTATCATTTGGTCTAAAACATTTTGGCTGATATATTCAGCATCTTTCGATTCCTCATCTTCAATCTTTTCAACCGATTTCATTCTTTCAAAGAATGTTTCAGCAGACAAAGGCTCTTCAGAAACTTCTTTAGACACAACTTCAGACACTTTCGAAACTGCCTCTTTTTCATCTGTTTTCTCTCTTGCCTTCATTTTGTTGTTTTCGACATTATCTCCATCATTTGCTTCCACTTCATTCTCAGCATCTGAGGTTCCTTCATCTTCTGGATCATTGACCTCTCCTGGATACTTTTCAATTATGGGTTCATCAGCAGGTTTTAAGACAGGTTTCACGGGCTCACCTTCAAAAACGGCATCGTCAGAGACATTACTCATTACAGTGTCTTCCTCTGAGACTTGAGGCTGACAGGAATCGTCATTATAAGTGTGATCATCATGGGTGTCATTTTCTTCATCCTCATCACTTTGACTTGATACTGATGAGTCAGGGGGACTTGAGGACTCAGACAGTTGATACTCTTCTCTGCCTCCCATTTCTAAAGAGCATTCATCATCCAAAATGAGCTCTTCGGTACAAAGATCTCCATAGCTTCCTTCTGTTTCCTTTTCCTCTTCTGCTGTCTTAGCACTTTTAAGTGCTGGGTCTTCAATATCCGTAGATTTTTTGGTTTTCTGTGGTTCTTTGGTTTCGGCATCTTTACTATCACTTAGGCTAGGAGTAATTTCATCAATTTGAGATAATTTACTACCATCTTCTTCTTCAAAATTATTGGACACGTTTCTTTCCCTGGCGTTTATTTCATTTGAATCTTTATCAGAGACATTAACGATGATATCTTGACTCTGAGCGATTTCATTCCGAAAAGTAGAACATTTACTTTCAGCTTCAGCAATTATTTTACTACCGGTAACTGCTACACAACCATCTTCACTCAGATCATCTTCTTTTTTGTTGTTCTTCATTGATTGTGACACGATTTGGGATTCTCTGCTTACGCCTTCATTTCTGATACTTTTATTTACAGCATTTGGGTCTACATCAGCTACAATCTTGCTCTCTTTCCCCAACATTTTGAGTGAATCCTTTTCTTCATGATTTTGTATACAGTCAATTTCTTGAGGGGATCCATTTGTTGGATTACAAATACTGTTAGATACCAATTCAGTTGGACAGTCTTCAGTGCAGTCTTTAACAATTTCTCTGTGGACTGAACTAATTGCATCCGAAACTTGACACGTATTTTCAAAATCAATTTGTTCAGAACTAGTTTTTTCACACTCCTGGTTCGAATTTTTGTTATGAGAATGGCTCACATCTTCAGGACTTTTGATGGGCTCTTTGTCATGAAAAGCCAAATTACTAACATTGATTCCTTCCAATCCACTAGAATCTTCTTCTTGCTCCTTCTCCCGTGCACTTTTTTCTGAAACTGGGGGAGATATTTTATACTTGTTTGACTTCGGCAGGTGTATATCTGATATATTTACTACAGCTTGTTTTAAACAATTTCCCTCACCTGAAGCATGTCTGTCTGCTTCTGCTGTGGCACATGAGGCAATATCAGACACCGGTTTTACAGTGTTGGAGAGGGCAACTATTTCCTTCTCACACACCACTTTGTCCGTATGCATACTTTTTGAGTCGGACAATTTAGAAAATCGTTCCTCAAACATGTTGTCTGGTATGTTCGATGACTTTTCTTCACATACTAGTTTGCCCGAAGTTTCTGTTTCACAAATTCTACTTTGCACTTCATAATCAATAGAATTTTTTTCTTTGGAAATTGGTTCTGGTAAAACTTCTGTGAAATCTCTTTCTGTCCCAGATAAGACTGGAGCAGATGACGCTCCAGAGCTAGAAAGACTTGCTTCTCCTGCTTCAGAAACTTTCATTTCATTGTTCAATGATTCCGATCTCTCTTTAGAACAGGCATTGGTTGACTTTTGTTCTGTATGAAGAGAGTCAATGCCGACAGATTGGTCCTCAGCATTTCCCTTATCAACAGGCTTCAGGTCACTGACTACTGTCTGTTGAATATCAACACTTCCGTCAGTCTTTGACACGGCACATAATTTCTCATCTATGGGTGAACTAAGAGCACAAGCTGATGATGAAGAATCCTCCCTACTTCCTGCTTGAGAAGTAGTTACAGTTCTGAGTTCATCAGCATTTTCTACTTCATTTATACATTCATTGCTAAGTTTGGGTTGATTATCAGTCTCAAAAAGTTCTTCCTCATCAATTTGTAAAATCATTTCTTCTGATGCAGATTCAAATGATGTATTTTCAAGCATTTCACTGCTTTCAGTAAGATAGGAACTTTCTTTTTTGTTCGTTTTGTCGATGATCTCCGGTTCTTTGGAGAGTACAGAAGCAGAAATATCTATTTCCGTTCCTTCAGTACCATTATTCTCTAAATTTTGAACTAATCTTTGATTGATTCTCAATGATGAGTCACTATCAGGTTTACTATTTAATTCTGTTGGTGAAACTACAGTTCCATTCAATGTGACAGTACTAACAGAAGAAATTTCACTTGTCCTTTTGAAACAGGCATTTACACAGGTACTCGTTGCACTTTCCACTGAATGTACTGGACCGGCATGAGAGCTTTCAGATTGAGAATTTATACTTTCTGCTAGCTGAATCACATTATTACAAATATTATTTACAATCTTACATACTTTAGCTAATTCTTTATCTTCTGACTGAAGAGCTTCAGAATGTTTAGTTGGTTTCGGTAAGGGTATTGCATCAGCATCTGCTTCATCACTACTTGATCCGCTAACTTCATTCGATAAATTAATTTTGAGATCTGAAAGAAAAACAGGAAAAGACACTGGTTTAAAAACGTTCAAATAGAAATATATCCATTTAAAAAACTAAGATATATTGAGCAGCCTGTGATACAAGTTTCGACTTTGTTCATTTCAAGACCTGACAAAAAAAAAAAAAAACTTTGAGGAATAGACCTGGAGGAAATCCTCCACCTGGACCTCCTTGGAACCTGTGCTTTCACCTATCACCTAAAATGGCAAGCATACATTCCACCGCTGTGCTAAGACAAATCCGAGATGTCGATATATTTTGTCATGGGACCTGACTGCGTTCTTTCCAATACTTCTTCATTTTTGACACCAGAGCACTCATCCACACTTAAGTAGAAAGTATAACTAACCCAATACACGTTTGTACAATATTTCATCTCTTTCCCACAATGATTTGGTTTTATTGTATTATGTGCACTATTACTTAACCTAATCTCATTTTTTCATGATTTTGCAAGTTTGACTGGCAACCAACAAAATGGCAAGAACAGATCTTTATCCTAAGGTTTGCTGAGGCCAAGGAGGACACGGTTCTGTAATGGCGGAAACGGGGAACTCTGCCCCGTTCCAACCCCATGTGATACCATGGATATGTAATTATCTCCTTTATAATAGGACCCTCGATGCCTCCTCAAGAGATGGTTTTTTTCAGTTAAGTACATATTATAGGTAGCCAAAATGATGCACTTCCACGAATCAGCCTGTTTTCTTTCTTTTTAAGCCAATATTAATTTGTCCAAAATTTAGATTTCTTTGAGGAGTGGGTACCTAAGAGTGCTTCGAATGGGCTCAAGTTTTTGATAATTTGTTATTATCATAGATAGAGCCAGTGGGTCAGTTGCACTGGTAATAGAATTGTTTTTTGGAGGTTTAAGTTAATAGAATACCAAAAAAATAACATCCAAACAAATGCCAAGTTTCTACGTCCAATAATAACAAAGATATCGCTTATTGAAAAACATGGTGTAATTCTGTATGACGTCATTCACTGCACTAGTGGACACCGTGGTTTTTTAACCTTGATTTCATTCATCAGGGATACACACATTTGCATTGGTGGCTCAATGTAGAACACGGATGACACCATTGTAGAAGAAACCATGGTATGCACCAGCACGGTAAATGGCGCCATACACCATGTATTATGACAGGCTATATCATTTTCAATATTGGATGTACTTGGTGTTTGCACAGATCTTGTTCAATTTTGAGAGTATACAACGTTAAACCACCAAACCGCAATACTGTCACTAGCACGACTGATCCATTGCCACCTATTGCGGCTCGATTTACCAACATGACCTAAATAACCTGCATCTTAGTCCCTCATAACTTGTCAGAAAATAACATAGAGTACATAGAGTCGTAATGTAAATGGGAGAGCTGGCGCCATGTTCTGCTCGACGAATTCCGAGCCCGGTGTGCGCCGAGTTCGGGTCGCTTTTTCGATACATTTTCGATCCAAAATGGCGGTGTGGAATACGTGGTAATTCCTATCTCCGTTGTTGTTGTTGTTGATGTTGTTGTCATCGGATGGCCAGGCACCCGTGTATCGCAAACAATCGATTATGTATCGAAAAAGTGACCCGGTGTCACACAGGAGTCTCGGAATTCGGGACATGGAAAATGCTTAAAAGTGGTGCCAGCTCTCCAATTACATTACGACTCTATGTACTCTATGGAAAATAATACACTGTAACAAACAAAAAACGAACTAATAATGTTGTGAGGTTAAGCATGGAAAATATTCTTGTACCATTTGATTTTTCTGTGTCAACATTGTCGCTTGAGTCTGTTGGGTCCTTTTCAATGCCATTATCAGGAACTGCATTTGTTAGGGGGAGAGGATAGGTGAAAGCTGACAATACATTTGCTTCTTCTCCATTCATGATGGGTATTGTCCGTTTGACCAGACGGTTATCATTGGCCCCAACCAGTAAACAGCCATCAATCAGGGTCATTTTCAAATACCTACAGATTGGCTGATGATATATGTGTTCTCCACATCTTGGCTTTCATCTCATTTTCTGGAGTTCCATGTTTTAAAGACCTGTGAACAGCGTATAAATTTAAAATAATTAGAGAAGTATGCATGACTTATGGACTGCAAGTAAAGCTTTGTCTTATACCTCAATGTGCGATTTGAGCACTCTTGTTTTGGTTACAGAGGGAGGAAATAATGAGGAGAATAGACTTGACTATTAATTAGAGCTCACTCACCATAGGCTGAGACATAAATTAAGTACTGTTTGTGCCACCACTCATCAATGGTGCCATCAGATTGCATGTATTGATCTTCTGAGTTGTTCTGATTAAGAGTCAATCAGAAATTGACCTAAGTCTCAACATAAAAACAGTGAGCTCAAATACTCCGATATGCAGATTGGAAAAGTAAATTGCGAGGAATAAGTATGTTTAATGGAGGAAATGAGGTGACTGAATGCAGCTCTTGCATGCCTCAGGGATTTCCAGCTACAGGTTCTTTTACCTTTATAACACTTCTTCTGTATCCAATAATTCTACTTGTCCTTTCTAAAGCAAACTTGAAAGCACAAAAGAAACCTTTGCAAAGTTGCGGCAGTGATATTCAAAGGGGATGCTCTGCATTGTGAGATAGTCTCCCGGTATATCTGAGCAAACTCTCCATGCACATAGAGGGAGAGAACACTTAGGCGAGGTTCCAGTGCTCAGTGGTTGGAGCTTCAGAGGCTCCACACAAAGTGACAACCCTACTAATGTATTTGCTTCCTATCTGGGCATGGAGAGATTACCAAAATATAGTGGTAGATGGACTCTTCCATGACGCACAGAATACCTTTCGTAGCGGCCTTAACTTGGAGCACTTTTATTGAAATAAGGAGTTTGTTACCAAGAAAACCAGTGGTACCATTTGGTTTCTTGAAAAATTTGATGGGAGAAAGAGAACTTAAATTGTAAATCACTGGCATGCAGGTGAAGTTCCACTGAATAAAAAATCAGGAGGACGAAAAGACGATATGATAATCTAAAGCAATGTGGCTACTTAGACACTGGCATGCTGGTACTTCATGTTCTTTTTCCAAAATGTAATTTCAATTTCCTACATTTTCAATAGGTCTTCTGGGCCCGATAACACTGTAAGCAAATCATACAGTATTCCAGGAGTGACGTTTGACCAACTGTGGCAAAGGAACAGAGGTGAGCATTGTAGAACAACAGACTAACATGCACGGAAAATTTCAAGAAGTGCATCATCGCACATACATTATAAGTAAAATGAATTTCCTTGGCAAAGAGAGGATAAAATATCCATTGGTTGGTGAACATACTCAAAAAGATTCGGCTGGAAGAAAAGTAACCTAAAAATTCGGCCACTTTGGGGTAGAAGGTAGAAGTGATCAGAAAAACTACTCAGTGATCCACTCAAACACCTAGGACCGGACTAATCAAAGCACAGAAAAACAAAATTGATTCACATCTTACATTGCTGTTTTAAAATCAAGTCAGTTGCCTGGGACTCACACCGAAAACACTCGTGAAATTTAAATAATGATAATAGAATCAAGCATAGGAGTGAGAAAGAGAGGACCTGCACTTCCAAAACAACTAAAATGCATGAGAGGCCACACCGCGCATTGATACAAGCAGTTTCCATAAAATTCAAAGATTCCGCGGCGCTATTTCTTATGTGGTCTCATGGCAGGAGAGTCTCACAATTTTTTTAACGAAACGGAAATCATTAAATCTTCATATCGTATGATAGATAATTATAAATTGGTCCAGTTTAAATTCGGATTCGACTGTAAAAATGAATTTATTATGACTAACCGTAACCCCGACCCATTCAATTGACTAATCTAAAATAGCATTCCTCCCCGCTCCCCTCTCACTAGCACCAAGCCCGAGAGCTCTGCCTTGCTCGAGCGAGTAAGACTGGCCCAAAGTACAAAATATATATACTTTGTATTTGAACATCCATGTAATAAAAGAGTGCTAGGGTAATTACAGAAGCAACCTTCGAACTGTATTAAAGATGCGATCATTTCTCATCAAGCACAAATAACCGACTCTGGCTTGTCCGGGATTTCCCTGTTATTGACGAAAAAATAGTCCCGACTTTTTTCGGTTAGGACCAGGATCGCCGATTGTATAAAAAGTTCAAGTTTGGATCTTTCAGAAGATAGAGGAGTGTCAAAAAATTATGGAGACGATTGGGAACTTACGGTCTTGAGAACCGTCTTCATGGGACTCCTCTGTGAGGACTCAACCCCCCCCCCTTCTATTAATGGATTTTTCATGTCGGTTGAGGTTAGGGTTATAGGCCAAAGGCCGATTCTTGCCGCCTCTTCCGCCCCCGCCCACAGATCGCCCTTGAATTTCTCGTAAAATTTCAATTTTTAAGTGATTCATTTGAGAAGGTTGTGCTATTTCCATCGCCGATTATATTAGGCCCCTTAGATAGGCCTCAGATTAGTAGGTACCCATGTTCATCTTTTCCGGGGCGAAACAGCAAACAGCAGCTTATGAGACGTTCAAATATGGCGGCTTTTATGGTCAGGGCTCCCTTGAAAGGAGGGCGGGGGGAGGGGGGTCAAAGACAAAACCATTAACTGTTAATTACTTTTGAACGAATAATAATCGAATAAATCGGATTGAGTTGGACTTTTTTCAAACTTTCAGGAGATCTCGGAAAGAACAATGCTGCACGTGCTACATTGAGAGTGGAAAACAATTCGCTGCAGTGCAAATTTTTAGCAATAATTTTTCGATTTCTCAGGGTGCAAAAATTTAAATTTTGCCATATTTTGGCATCGTTCGAGTGGATCGCATGTTGAAGAAACTTTTGGACTAGAGAGAGGCCCTAAGACTGGTATTTTGGGTTCGGGCGTAATGGGGCCCCTAGATTTTAGGATTTGGGGCCCGTTAATTGGCCCCCGGCCCC